GGGGGTCGTGGGCGGGGGTCGTGGGCAGGGGGTCGTGGGGCAGGTTAAGGTCATTTCCAATAGTGTGAAAAAGGTCAATTAGCACATAGGTGTGAAAAAAATGGGTCATTATCAATAGGTGTAAAAAAAGGGTTTCTTGCTCAGAAGGGGGCCGCTCAGCGCAGGCCCTTTTCAGGAAGGACCGCTCAGGAAGGGACGCTCATGCCGAAGGGAACGCTCAGCCGCCTCAGGTTACTACTTTTATATATTATATATATATATATATATCTATATATATTTTTATTATATATATATATATATATATATATATATAGATATATATATATATATATATATATATATATATATATTTATATGTGTGGTGTTTATATATATATATATATATATATATATATATAATATATATATATATAGATATATTATATATATATATATATATAATATATATATGTATTTTTTATTATCACAACGCGCGATTCCCACCAAGGCAGGGTCGCCCGAAAAGAAAAACTTCACAATCATTCACTCATCACTGTCTTGCCAGAAGGGTGCTTTACACTTACGTTTTAAAAAACTGCAACATTACACACCTCATTCAGAGTGCAGGCACTGTTTATACTTCACATCTCCAGAACTCAAGTCCGGCCTGCGGTTTTCCCTGAATCCTTCATAAAGGTTACTTTGCTCACACTCCAACAGCACGTCAAGTATTAAAAACATTTTGTCTCCATTCACTTTATATCAAACACCGCTCCGCATGCCTGCTGGTTGTCCAAGCCCTCGCACAACAAAACCTCCTTTACCCCCTCCTCCAATCCCTTCCTAGGCCGGACCCTACCCCGCTTCCTTCCCACTACAGGAATGTACACTCTTGAAGGTCTTTGTTTTCGCTCCATTTTCTACCATTTCCGACCCCTCAACAATCCTTCTCAGCCTCTGGACAACAGTTTGGTATTCCCGCACTCTCCTAACTTCCAAACTACGAATTCTTGATCCATTTATTCACACACACCTTTGCCCTCGTACATGACATCCTCACGCTCAGCCTTCTCCTCGCTGCAACATTCATCCACCCACGACTTCACACCCTTTTAAGAGCGTTGGTAAAAACTATACATCTCATTACATTCCCCTCTTTGCGCTCCAAGGAAAAGTTCTTTGTCTCCACAGACACTAGTTGCACCATCTCATCTTTTTCCCTCATCAATTCTATGTTTCACTCATCTTTCATAGACCCATCCGCTGACAGTCACTCCCAAATAATCTGTATACGTTCACCTCCTCCATAACTCTCTCCCTCAATCTGATATTCATCTTTCATCTCTATTCTTTTTGTTATCCTCATAAACCTTACTCTTTCCTGTATTACCTTTAATTTCTTCTTTTGGCACACCCTACCAAATTCATCCACAATCTCTGCAACTTCTCTTCAGAATATCCCAAGAGCACAGTGGCTCAGCAAAGAAGCAGCTGTGACAACTCCCACTTGGTGTGTGATTCTTTATCTTTTAACTCCACGCCTCTTGCCCAAGACCTCGCTTTACTTTCTTACAACCCCATCTATAAATTTATTAAACAACCACGGTGACATCACACTCCTTGTCTAAGGCCTACTTTTACTGGGGAAAAAAATTTCCTCTTTCCTACATAACTCTAACTTGAGCCTCACTATCCTCGTTAAAAACTCTTCACTGCTTTCAGTATCCTACCTCCTTCACCATACACTTGAACATTCTGCCACATTGCCCCATATCCACCTGTCATACGCCTTTTCCAAATCATAAATGCCACAAAGACCTCTTTAGCCTTATCTAAATACTGTTCACTTATATGTTTCACTGTAAACACCTGGTCCACACACCCCCTACCTTTCCTAAAGCCTCCTTGTTCATCTGCTATCCTATTCTCCGTCTTACTCTTAATTCTTTCAATTATAACTCTACCATACACTACCATACTCTACCATATATATATATATATGTGTGTGTATATATATAAACACTGATCTCTGGATGAAGGAGACTCGATGGACCAATACCTTGGAGTCCAGCATGCGCTAGACTTTGATCCAAGGCAGCCAGCTTTCAGGGAGAATGCTTACAGCTTTTCATCTCATCCCGTGCATGCATCAGCCTTACTAGAGATTTTAACAATGCAAGGAATTCGCAAATCTACCCATACTGGACCAATACCTTGGAGTCCAGCTTGGCGCTTAGCTTTGATCCAAGGCAGGCCAGTTTCAGGGGGGAAGGCTTAAAGCTTTTCATCTCATACCCTGCATGCTTCAGGCATTACTACGAGATTTTAACAATGCAGGAATCGCAAGTGCAGGCGATATATCAAAACCACTGAATCGTGGCTGAAGGAAGACTCGAACCTACGAACCTTGGAACAAGGTATACGCAAGTACGCTTGCCTTGGATCAAAGTCTAGCGCAAGCTGGTCTCCAAGGTATTGGTCCAGTGTGGGTGGTAGAATTGGTTAAAGATTGCGTACCTTG